AATTATTCTAAGCTTACTGTTGCAAATTAAGGTTTAAAAGGTTACATACTGCTATAATAGCCCTGGTTTACACGTTTCTATTCTTGCTGCTTTGTGTTCCTGAAGGATATAATCACCTACTATATGAACCTGACATACTCAAATGTGGTACATGAGCGCTGGGAGAAGGCGTACCGGCTGACGGAGGCGTTTCGTGTGCCCGACGCCTCTCCCACCTCTATGCACCGCGTGATGGAGCGGATATCCAGCGACAAGTGTTACCTGCAGAAGTACTACGAGTTCAACTCTGTGAATTATGACCTGACGGAGTGCCACGCTGACTGCCGCGTCGATCACGTGTGCGCGATGAGGGAAGTGGACTTTGAGGCCTATGAGAAGTGCGTGGTGAAGGAGGGAGGATCATTCAATGCTCCAGTGCTGTTTACTCTGCTGCTGTCACTGATGCTGAGCCTGCTGTGTTTGAACTGATCACAGAACAGCAGCGTTTTTGCAATATTGTCACGTGATCCCTTCAGACACACTCAGCATGAGTGTGAATGACATGTTGTCAGCAGTATTTCAAGTATTTAACGTGCTGTTCATAAACTTGATTTTGATGATTTCTTTATATTTACTGAACTGTCTCTTAGTTCAGCCCAAAATGAAAATGCTTTTTGTGGGTCCAAAACATTAAAAAAAAACAAAAAAAACATAATTTGTGTTCCACAGAAATTTGGAGTGACGTGAAGGTAAATAAAAATTGCAGTTGTCTTTTCTTCTTTACTGAGACATACTGTAGATCTGAGTGAAATGGCTTCTCTGCAACAACACTGCAGAATTCTGACTCTCTTTATTTTAAGATAAAAAGTTGCATGTAATGTTTTTTTAACCCCACGTCGGAAATAAGTTTACATTGATTTGTCTCTGTTCGTATACAAGATTTTTTTTTTATTTTGCGTGAAAGACTGTCAAAAGTGGTTTGATAATGATAATGATAAATTATGCATAATGATGAATTATGCACTCATGCAATTTATATTTAAATGCATTCATCAACATTTTTTGTCCAGCAGTAATTAGGGCATCCAGCAGTATGAACACTTACTATGACCAACAATACAGTACAATACTCACAAAACAGTACAATACAGTAGCCTTTGATTTGCATTTAAAGTTGCAAAATAAACTTGTGTGGAAAAAAATTGAATATGGCATAAAACACCTGCGAATAAAATTCATCTCATGTGTTCAAGAGAACAAAATCACTTCCTGGGAAACTGGTGCAAAGTATCGATAATAAAGCAATAATAAAAAAAATTGCTGCAACTGGGGAAGGCTGAGACTCTTTTTCCTACATAATCAATTATCTGCACCACATCAGTTGAGGCATCCAGGAATTGAATTGACAAATGTGTTTCCATCAGAGTTTAAGTGCATGTTTTCTTACAGAACTAAAACACTGTCCACTTCGGAAAAAATGTTGTTTATCTTTTTAACATTATTTCTCATTATTCAGTCTGTTACAGGGCCTTATAAATGACATGAATGCCTGTCTTTAACATATGCCCCATATGAGGATTTTTGTGTTTGACTCCATGTGATAAAGCAACAGTGATGCTTGAGATGAAACAAATGCTCAGGCTTTCTTAGCAACTAGTCAAACTCATACTCTCTGTACATTATCCGGTTTTCTGTATGTAATCACAATAAATGTAGAGTGCCGTCTGATGGACTGACAATCCTTATGATGCTCATAAATACCAAGTATCCAATAAATGTCAATGCATTCAAAATCAAAGCCAAAACAGCTGATAAAGCTAACTGGATTCGATTACGCAGATCTTAACAAACGCATGTGAAAACACGCGAGACACACAAATGAGGTCACATGACAAAAACTTGTTTGGTGGAGACATACGGCTTCATGGCGTTCTCCAGGGCCTTTCTGAAGTCTTGAAGGCACACTTCAGTGCAAGCTGGAGCCGACAGCTTCCCAGCACGAATCAGGATGCAGAGTTCATCCAGCATGTTACGCAAGGCGTCTTCATCTATCACAAAGGTGTCAATGAGTGTTTTAGATTAGCACGATTTATGACAGCCTCAATGAACACACAAGACTGGAGACACTCACCATGTTTGTTGTCTCTCTTCCATTGGGTCACCCAAAAACCTCTTATTTTCACATCTTTGAAGATCAGCGCACTCTAAAGACAGCAGCATATTT